GATCTTTTGCTTAGAGGGGACCTATTCAGAGGCAAAAGCATCATGCCTTCCTCGTTTTGTTTAAAATCTGTGACGCGATGTCTGCATTTTGGTATTGGATCTTTTTCACAATAGTTCTAACCACCGGTCAGATATTCTGCCTCTATGATCCTTCCCTCCTTTGGACTACAGCAGGCTGTCACTGCTGAACAAGCACCAAGGACTCGCTCATAATTCCAGTTTTTAATGGGGGATGCATGCATAGGCGGTTACAGCACGACTTCAGAAGTGCATCTTTTAAACTTGATGAATATTATCCAGTATTTATGTCAAAAGCCAAAGCGGCTGCATTGACCACAAGAGGGACTACTCCGAATTCCTTTTTGAGGACAGCTCAAGTTTTCAGAAAAAATGATTTGCATCTCAGAGCAAGAAAAGGGGAAAGCAAACGTGGCTGGTTAAATCTTAGATGCTGCGTGTGGCATCCTTGCAGACCCACAGATGGATTTGGTCAAGATTCCACCTAGAAATAAGGAGACATTTTCTGACAATGAGAACAATCAACTGATGGAACAGAAGTTGCCTTCAGAAGTTGTGGGAGCTTCATCACTGGAGGCCTTCAAGAAGAGACTGGACGGCCATCGGTCAGAAATGGTGTAGGGTCTCCTGCTTGGGCAGGAGGTTAGACTAGATGACCTCCGAGGTCCTTTCCAACTCTGTTATTCTGTTCCTTTCTGTTAACCTGTTAAAAGTATGGGAGCAGTCTTGGCACCAAGTGTCTTCCTACAGTTTGGGGGACAGGAGAAACAGATCTGCCCAGCTTGTTTTAGAAATGGGAAATCAGATCTGTAAGATGTAAGGAACCCTGGGTGAGAAAGGAGCACTTTTTCTAAGAGGCTGCCTTGAAAGGCAGGACATAAATTTGATCAATAAAGAAGCTGGGGAAAATAATGAGCGGGGTGTGTGTAAGGTTACCTTAAGGCAAGATCCTTTTGGCCTCCTATGTGTCAGTTTAGAAGGAAGGCTAAACTGTGGACCATTCTTGCCCCCGTGATATAAATCCCTCCTGGCAACCTTTTTTCTGCCATGTCCATCTGATATTGGCTTCATCACCTCCCAACCTGCACCTGAATCAAGTTGAAGTCATTCTTGGCTGACTGGGGCTAAAGAAGTGTCCCTTCCCTCAGGATGGGGGTGGGAGGAGGCAGGATCCACTAAAGCAGGGCTCTCCAACCTTGGCAACTTTAAGACTTGTGGGCTTTAAGACTTGTGGGCTTTAAGACTTGTGGGCTTTAAGACTTGTGGGCTTTAAGACTTGTGGGCTCTGGGAGTTGAAGTCCACAAGTCTTAAAGTTGCCAAGGTTGGAGAGCCCTGCACTAAATCCTTCTTGGCTGCCTTGGCATGGGGAGCCTTTCATCTGGGCTCTCCCTTAACTGCCAGGTTTCTGGGCCAGCCCCAGAAAAGCCCCAACCAGGTGTGGAAGCCCATCTGGCAGGAGGAGGGTTACATGGTCCAGCAGCAGAAGGGAGCCAAGTTGGGCAATGGCTCCTGGGCCTTCTGTTCTTCCAGCTGGTCAGAATCCACCTGGAGCCTGACGGGCAGAGGCCTCCTCCCTCCTTTCACCTTCTGGCTGGAGTTCTGCAGGCTTAACCATCTCTCAAAGAGTTGCCAACCAAAGCAGCAGCACTGGTTGGGGTTGGGGAGCCCATCTTCCTTGCCCAGCGGCAGCAGAAATGCTGGGACAGTGGAGGGAGCTGAAGAAGCTTCTTGGATGAGAAGTGAAACGTCTTCTAAGAAAAACCAGAAAGTCCAGTTGCCTCTTGAAAAAGCACCTTTGTGTTCTGTCCCTGTTCCACTCACGCACCCCCACAGACGGCCCGGAGTTAATAAGCCACACGACAAAACTCTTTGAAGATAAAGCTGGCAGCAACCCAGTGGCTAGCTGCCAATTCAGACTTTACTCACACAAAACAAAGATTAGACTGCAAGCATTCTGATAAAACAGGCAGAGTTTCAACAATACAAGGATTAATCCAAATGCAGTCCGATAAAGCAGGCAAAGTCCAGTAATGCAGAGATCATGGATTATTTCTAGTTTTTGCTCGTCACAAACTGAACCGGCCACCACACCCACATTTATACCCTGTGGGGTGTGGTCCAGTGACTCAGCTAATCTCTGGCACGCCTTCCCCTCTGCTGCACACGCTTCTCCCTGTGCCTCTGCCGAGGGTCCAGCCAGCACTTATCTCCTTTGTCGCTGTCCAACTGTGGCTGCAGGGACGTGCTTGGCTCTGAGCCTATCTTTTGGCCTTCGGTGTCCTCCGGAGGCATTGCCAGAGAGGAGGGTCCTGGAGAGGGAGGCCTCCCTCTCACTCTCAGAGTCTGCATCTGTTGATAGCCCAGGCTCAGTCAACAGAGCCACAACACTTTGGGACAACCATGACCTGGGTGATGGAGAATCTCCAAAGAGGTTGGGATAGTAGCCTTTCAGACCTGCAGCTCTGCTCTCAGTTGAACCTGAGTAGCCCCAGTTGTGGGCTATCTAGTGGGCACCACATTGGAGAAAGCGAATACAATGGATGATAGAATTGGGTGGTTCTTTGTTCATTTTATGGGGGCATATGGCCTAGCAGTTAAGACGCTGGCTGTGGACCGGAAGTTTGGCAGTTTTGAGGCCCAAGTAGTGTGTGGCAGGGTGAGCTTCCGTTTCTGCCTCAGCTCCCGCCCACCTTGAAGTTTGAAAGCATGCACATGAGAGTAGCTAAATAGGTATCATTTTGGTTAGGTGTCTTGGTGTATAGTGATGGCCACATGACCACAGAAATGTCTTCGGACCACACTGGTGCTCTCGGCTAAGAACTGGAGATAAGCACCATCCCTAGAGTCAGGCATGATTGGACTAGAGCAGTGTTTCTCAACCTAGGAAGCTTGAAGATGGGTGGACTTCAACTCAAGCTACCAAGGTTGAGAAACACTGGACTAGAGGAAAGCTTTACCTTTTTATCTGTCAATTTGCCCTTCACCTTCTGGGCAGAAGTTCAAAGTGTTGTACAGAAATTCCGCCTCTTAATTTCCCTGCAACAACAGCCTGATGAGACAGGTTGAGCTGAGGCCAAGTGGGCAGATGGGGGTCTGGAATTTGGGAGAGGGGGATGCAAAGCCTAGGGCAGAATTGAGAACGGGTGAGTCAAGGCCCCAACTCCGGCCTGCCACCCGTTTATGTGGGCACACGCAGCGTCCCAGGCACAAGCCTTCCGAATGGGAAACTCTGGCCGTCAGAAGTTGTGGGTGCTCCCCACTGGAGGCTTTTCGGAAGGGACTGGACAACCTTGTGTCTAAAACAGGGGTGGGCAAATGTGGCCCTTTTACAACCTGTGGACTTCAACTCCCAGAATTCCTGAGACAGCGGTCTCAGAATTTTTTTTTTTTTTTTTGCTTTAATTTATATGCCGCCCTTCTCCGGAGACTCAGGGCGGCTTACAATGCGTTAAGCAATAGCCTTAATATTTTCGTATATTTATACAAAGTCAGCTTATTGCCCCCACAATCTGGGTCCTGATTTAACCTACCTTAGAAAGGATGGAAGGCTGAGTCAACCTTGAGCCTGGTGAGATTTGAACTTGCAAGTAATTGCAGGCAGCTGATGTTAATCTGTCAATAACAGTGCTTTAATTCTGGGAGTTTATTTATTTATTTATTTATTATTTGGACTTATATGCTGCCCTATCTCCGAAAGGACTCAGGGCGGCTCACAACAATAAAAAAATACAAAGTTCAATTTTTAAAAAATACCCAAGAAAACTATAAAAACCATTAAAATCCCCTCTCAAACCCCTTCAGTTCAAGCCGGCCAGGCGGAATAGCCATGTTTTAAGGCCACGGCGGAAAGAGTGAAGGTCAGGGGCCACCCGGAGCCCCAGGGGGAGCTGATTCCACAGGGTAGGTGGGCCCACAGAGAAGGCCCGCTCCCTAGGGGTTGCCAGCCGACATTGTCTGGCCAATGGCACCCCAAGGAGGCCCTCCCTGTGGGAACGCACTGGGCGATGGGGAGCAGTCGCTGGCCGCAGATGGTCCGAGTTGAAGTCCACAGGTTGTAAAGGGGCCACATCTGCCCACCCCTGGTCCAGTGGTGGGATTCAGCCGGTTCGCACCCGTTCGGGAGAACCGGTTGTTAACTTTCTGAGCAGTTTGGCAAACTGGTTGTTGGAAGAAATCAGAAGGGCAGAGAACCGGCTGTTCAATTATTTGAATCCCACCACTGCCCTGGTCTAAAATGAGAGGCTTGAGCAGGGGCTCGACTAGAAGATCTCCGAGGTCCCTTCCAACTCTGTTACTTAGGGGCCGAATGGCCCAATTGGGGCGGCGCCTCCAGGCTCTCCAGCCAGGGCTCGGGAACACTGACCGGGGCCGGAGGGAGAGATGCGCCCCGAAAGCTCCGCGCGGCTCTCAGCCCGGCCAACCGCGCAGGGTCGCTGTGGAGAGGCGGGCGGGCGGGGCGGAGGCGGAGGCGGCCTCATCCGGCCGGCCACCTGAGCGCAGAGCCGCTCACTCGCTCGGACGACGGGCTGCTCTTCGCGGCTGGCGGCTCCTGCCGGGACAGGGACGCGGCCTCGGGGTAAGAGCGGCGGCGGGGCGGCCTTGGTGGGCTGCAGCGCTGGAGGGGCCGGGACCCCCTTCCCTGGACTCCGCTCCGGGGGCTTCTTCGGGGGCTGGCTGGGCTGCAGCTGCGCCGGCCCAGAGCCACCGAGGACTCGCCTCTTGCGCGGGCGGAGGATGCCGCGCAGCCCCGCTTGGGAGCCCCGGCGGCCGGGCAGCAGCGCGCGGCTCCCCCGTTTCCTGGCGCGGGGAGGCGGCCGCCGGGAGTGTGCGGGGCCGGGGCGTCCGCTGCTCGGCTCGGTGCGCGAGGAGCGGAAGCCGAGCCTCCCTTCTCCTGCCCGGCCAGCTGCTGCCTTCGCGGGGAGCCGCGCTGCCCGGGGCAGGGGAGGAGAGCCAGGCGGGAGTCAGGCTCCCCAGTGGGCTCTTGTGGCCTGGAGTGCCGCAGGCTCTCTGCCCCCGGCTGGAGCCCTCGCTCTGCCCGTCTCTTGCCCTGGGCAGGCAGGCGGGCAGGCAGGCAGGAGCCCGTCCGGAGCTGTGGACGGGACTCCCTGCCTTGGAATGCCGGGGGCTGCTGTGCTGGGGGGGCTCTTGGAGCCCCTTAGAGACTCTGCTGGGCTGGCCGAGAGGTCTCCACGACGGGGAGGCGGGTCAGGGCAGGCGGTGGTTCTGGTTGTGGATCCAGGCTCGATGGCATCTTTGGGGAGGGAGCTCGTGCTGATCCCGCCTGACCGACTCGGGCGGAGAACCTCAACCCCGCCCCAGATGTCCGAGTCGCCCTTTTATTTAAGCTGTAACTTCCACCGATGATCTGCGCTTCTCCTCCTTTCTGAGCTTGCTTCAAAGGGGAAAGGCAGCCTTCATTAGCGAAGGTTGGGCTTCTCCTTTCCTGTTCAACGCTTGGATCTGCTGGTGTATCCATGTGGTTAAGGCGGCGCGTGCTGCGAGGGAGTGCCTGGAAAAAGAGAAAGATAAGCAGATGAGTAGCTTCTTTGTCGGGAGGGTGTCTTGCTGAGTTCCTAAAACGGAAGGGTGGCATTCAGGGCTTTTCATTGCCTTACTAGAGCTTGAAAAGGGAGACTTGAGTCGCCCCCTGAATGCGCCTTCAGAGCAACTCATGGTTGGCTGAGCAGCCTGGGCGAAAGTGAAGGGGAAAAAAAGAAAGTGAAGGGAAAGCCTTGTGGATACCTTCAGAGCCGGCCCTGGCAGTTGGGCAGGTGAGACTCTCCTGCGTGGGCTGCTGGAGGGTGGGGGGCGTCAGTGGTGAAAGAAGCATGGCAGGGCTGGGCTCAGGGCTTCCTTCCAACTGACCTGCCTCTCCCACGCTGCCTTCTCCCCACTGCCAGCTGCCAAGAGACCAGCCTGTTGGCACAAGCCTCAGCCGACCCTGGGGGAACAGCTTTGGTCATCCGCTCAGGAGGGTCTTTGCCAGTCGGAGCATCTGCTGAGCCCGGGAGGTCTGTGGTGGAAGGCCAGGCCCTTTCAGGGCAGGAGACACGGCGCCAAGCACCACTGCTTCTCCTTAGCTTTCCAAGCTTGCTCTCATTAAACACAATTTCACGTGTCGCTTTTCTTTAACTTGGCGCCTTTTTAAGGATTTCTAACTCTCGCGAATGAAGGAAGACAAATATATGGGTCCCAGGATAATGTTGCAAGGTCCAATCTGGGCTGGGCACCGAGACTAGAGATTTACTCTTCTTAACTCTGCCCAGCCATGATTTTGTCTCTGCTTCTCCAGCACAATTCCTTCATGCATTAGTTTTCGTATTTGATCCTCGCTATTTCTGCATGTCCCAACTACCTCAATATGCGTCCTTCATAGAGATCATTCAATCCTGTATTTGGTTCGCACTTGTTCAGGTCCATTCATATTTGATCCTGCCTCTTCTAGTTTCACCACTCACCTTTCTTAGCCCATTCCCTCCCATTGCACCCAGCTTATGTTCATGCTGCTCCTGATGTAAACCTTATTTCCCTATAACCCAGAGGGCAGAAGAAGCATACTTTTACTGATAGCCATTTTGCAGTTTTAAAACAAGCGTTGATTTCTTGCAAGAGACCATATGGTAGCTACTAGCTTTGTATGATCATTAACATTTCTCCATGTATTTCCTCATCTTTAGTAAACATTCGCAATTTATCTTCCTGCTTCAGTTTGTCACCATTTATTTGTAACTTGTAAGTTATTAGTTGCATTTTCCCGGTCAGGTAACCTGGTCCTTGACACTGTAATTTTCTGGACTATTCACTTCATTGAATCATATGATCTGTCTAACATGTTCTACAAATCATTTGGCTCCTCCTTCTTCTTATTGTTTTATTCTTTTATTAGCTGACTACAAAAACCAAAGGAAAAGAATATACAGCATTTCTAAAAAAAGAAAGCTTAAAAAAGAAACATAAATATATAGAGCATTTACTATATACTCCCAGATATACAAACATAAAGTTGTAGAGTGAATGTTTCAATGAATGGAAGCCTTAATTCATTCTCATCTATAAGTAATTTATATTGATAAGTTATTGATTTGTAAATTGTCGGTGTCATCAATTCTGAATTCTGACAACTGAATATTTGAGGCCATACATTTGTCTTTCCTATGCTGAACAATAGATCTTATAGTTAGAAATAAGGTACATAAAATCTGCTTCCTTTTTTTGTGTGTAATAGGAATTTATTTCTGTGTTTATTGTTGTATCAAGATTGATTATTGTCCCGCTCGACATGCATTGTGAAACTTTTCATTTATCTTCACTGGGATCATATCTATTAAAATATTTGTGATTTTAATTTGTATTTGAGTTTCAGAAGTTTATGAATGTTTTGGTGTATTTCTTTCCAGCACTTTTGAATTTTTTTGTATAACCACTACACAGGTTAAAAGGTTCCTTCTTTGTCAAGGTATTTCCAACTTTTGGCTTTTCAACCAACCAATACAGCATCTTTGTATACAAAAATATATGTATTATTAAGTCACCAACTAAGTCCTCTAACAACAGTGAAAGTGTTCTTTATACACTAACCATAAATGTGTCCATCATTGTTTCCCTTCCTCCTTCCCCCCCCCCCCTCAGTCAGAACTCTTCCAGTGCCCTCCAGGCGCACTTCACACTTCATCTGCCTTCACTTTCTTGTTTTGCATTCACTTTCATTTTGCACAGGGAACAATCATCCCACACCAACGCAAGCCTCATCATACCCTTTTGGCAAATTGCACAGTTATTCCCCAAGCAAACCACAAGCATATATTTTAGCATATAATACACTATCTGTACCTGCAGCCTGTCATTTTTCAACATTCTCCAGTATTTACGATTTCCTTTCTATTAATTTTTTTTCTTGAACGCTGACATTTATAGTGTTTGCCTCATATATCTGCTCTGCAAAATTCTGACTCCTTAGAGTATTTCTTCATTGTATCCTAAATAGTTTAATCGCTTTAATTTTTAATTCAGTTTTCTGTGTTGGAGTATTCTTGTTCAGCCCTCTTCCCATTTTCAAAACATATTTTAATTTCCATCAATAACTAAGACCATCTGTTGACCTCTCCCTAAGCTTTTCCAGATTTTGGTGGAGCCAGGATGGCTTTCACATTTGCTGCTGGAATTGGGTCAGCTTGTTCCCACTCATTTTGGATTATTTTATAAGGAAATTTTCTGGGGAGGGGGATGGCTTCCTCAAACTTGCCTTTGTCTTGCCTGGCCAGTTATGCGGAACAGCAGGGATGTTTCAAGGATAGAGAAGGATGGTCTTTTTCTCCTTCCAGGCTGTGGTCTTTCACGCTGGCTCTGTGGGAGCTCCTGATCCATGGAAGAGGTGGTTTTCCAAAGGAGGAATGGGAAAAGGAAAAAAAAATTCTTAATAATCCTCTACCAAAAGTCTGGCCCCAATGCCTGGGGGAAGAGTTGAGTCTTCCAAAAAGCCAGCAGGGTAGACACCGTCCATGTCTCCAAGGAGGGTGTCCCATAGGGCAGAGAAGGCCCTACGCTTTCTGGGCCCTCCTCCACATGGCATCTGCCCACTCTGCCAGATCTAGTAAGACTAGCAGAAGCCAGCAGGGAGAGTCGATGAGTAGCCCAGCCTCTTGGTATGAAGAGTTTAAAGTTGACAACCAGCACCTTAAATTCTGCTTGGAGTGTCTTGGGAGCCAGCGTGGGTCTTACGTGGGTATACCAGCTAATCTTATTCTCATAGTTCCTTGATAAAAGAATTGTGGAAGGAATGGCCAGCCAGTATCCTCTTTGCAGCTCTGAGGCTAACTGGCTACAAAAATCAGTTGGTTTGTGTGAGAGGAGGCAGACGTGTCCCTGGATTCCTGAAAACCCTGAAGTGGAGAAGGGGAAGAGGCTGCAGCTGGAGGGGCCAGTGGCCTTCCGGGGATCCTGCCAAGGCCAGGAAGAAGCCCTGCTGTGGGAGGAAAAGCTTGGGGTGCCCCACCCTCGGGAAGTGGGTCAGGCTCCTTCCTAGGCTGAGCTCCATCCGAATCCCATACAGGCTTTGGAGTGCTTTGAACTCCAGTTGGCTGGCTTTATGTTCCTTAGTGGGCCCAGTTGGCCATTTGGTGCTTGAGTGGAATTTTTCTGGTGGGGGTGTGTGATTTCAAGCTTTATTTTGTCTGCAGCAGATGCTTTATGAATGACCATGAGGAGTGTTGCATTAATTTAAAAGCAATTTTACGAGGGTCAGCGGGTGTTGCGTTCTAATAGAAACTCCTTCAGTTATACTGTTGTTAGCCAAGAAATAAAAACAGTCCAAGAAACAAAACATTAAAAGGAAGAAATGTTTTAAAAAAAAACTTTCTAGTGTGCTCTCTCTTTCTCTCTCTCTTTGCCTCCCTCTCCCTCTTCTTTCTCTTAACCTGTTTCAGGCTACTCTTGCAGCACAGACTTCCCAGCCAAGGTGGAACATTCAGTTCTGGAGTTTGAAGGGAGAGAACCGAACAGCCTCTCCATATCTGAGCATCTAACTACTGGCATACTCAAAGATGAGCATAGGTCAGGCTGTGCTCAGGTTATAGGGAGATGAAGATGGAGGGGAGGGGAGGGGTCCCAGGATGTGGCCCTAGAGCAGTATTTCTCAACCTTGGAAGCTTGAAGATGGGTGGACTTCAACTCCCAGATTCTGGGAGTTGAGGTCCACCCATCTTCAAGCTTCCAAGGTTGAGAAACACTGCCCTAGAGTCTAGACCTTAAGAAATGAAACCCAAGCTTAGTTTTCAAGGGTTCCTTGGGGCAGAATCTTTACATGCAGAGTTGCCTTCCCTTGTCAGTGAGTAGCTCTACAAGATAAGAGCCTTGGTGGCGCAGCAGACTAAAGTGCTGTTAAGTAGCACCAGCTGCCTGCAATTACTGCAAGTTCAAATCTCACCAGGCTCAAGGTTGACTCAGCCTGCCATCCTTTCGAGGCAGGTAAAATGGGGACCCGGTTTGTGGGGGCAATAAACTGACTTTGTGTAAAAAAGAACACCGCTTTGGGAGGGGGGGCGAAAGCCCTACTAAGCAGGTATATTGAAAAAGTATGAAGGCTATTGCTTAACGCATTGTAAGCCGCCCTGAGTCTCTGGAAAAGGGCGGCATATTAATCGAACCAATGAATAAGTCCTCATGCATTTGAGAAGGGGTCCCCGGCTGCCCTTTTCTCCTTCGCTTGGGGGTTATTTCTTTTGGAGAAGTTCTACAGTCCTGCCTCTTTAAGCCTGTTTCCTCCTCCCTGGAGGAAGTGCAGGCAGAGGCTGGTGAGCGGGATTTAGCCATTCCAGAGAGCAAGGACCTCTTTCGGAATGACGTGGAAGGAGGACCAAGGCCAGCACGGAGAAGGAATGCATTAACCTTTATGCCCGGTCCTGCCGCCTTTTGCAGCAGCTGAGTTAGACCACATTCCGATTAAGTCAAGGGTCTTCCCTCCCCCAGCCCAGTTAATAATTGAGCCACAATGACTCTCCTTGTGCTGCGTCTCCGTCAAAGTCACGGCACATAATTATATTAACTTCTGCAGGCGTTTGGGACTCAGAGGTTTAAAGAGAGAGGTCCTTTTTAATTTTGGGCGGGGAATATTCCTCCTAAAGCTATCTTGGTTCTGGGTGTTAGAAACCAGAGGCATGTTTCAAAACCTTCCTGTGACAACTCATCAAAGATTTCTAGTGTTTCATTACACAGGGTAGCTGGAAACAGCTGGAGTTCGGACAGAGCAAGGAACAGCAGGCTGAAATGAAAGAAATGGTGATTTTAGATTAACCCTGATGGGAATTCAGCCATTTAGCCCAACTGTACAGTGAAGCTGGGGAATTTCCACTCTTGGATGTTCAAGAAAATCATTCAGGGATTTCCAGATGATATAGGAAGTTGCTGTAATGCAGGGGTGAAATGCTCCCAGTTCAGACCTGATCGCCCAATCCTGTAGTGATGGAGGCGGGTGGTTCGGAGAACCGGTAGCAAAAATCCCTGGGCCCAACCCTGCCCAGCTGAGCCGCATGATCATCAGAGGCTTTTTTTTAAAAAAAAAAAATTAAAAGCATTTTTTCTACAACTTCTTCGGACGAAAAAATGCTTTTAAAAGTAAAAAAATAAAAAGCCTCTGATGATCCCAGCTGAGTTGCCTGATTGGCAGAGGCTTTTTTTCTTTTAAAAGCTTCTGAGGATCAGGCAACTCAGCTGGGATCGTCAGAGGCTTTTTTTTCTTTTAAAAGCATTTTTTCTACAACCTCTTTGGCCGAAGAGGTTGTAAAAGAAAATGCTTTTAAAAGGCTCTGACGATCCCAGCTGAGTTGCCTGATCGGCAGAGGCTTTTAAAAGAAAAAAAGCCTCTGCCAACCAGGCAACTCAGCTGGGATGGTCAGAGCCTTTTAAAAGCATTTTTTTACAACCTCCTCCCCGAAGAGGTTGTAGAAAAATGGTTTTAAAAGTAAAGAAAAAAGAAAAAAAGGCCCCACCCACCCAGTCACATTACACACACACCCCTATCAAGCCACGCCCACAGAACCGGTAGTAACAAATTTTAGATTTCACCACGGCTGTAATGCCAGGGGAGCCTTGCCTTCTCTCGGGAAGCCTTTTCCTAAAAAGGTCTGTTTTGATGCTTCTCTCACTGTTGCCTGCCTTGCAGAGGCAGCTGTCGAGCGTGGCCCTCAGCCTGGGGCTCCTGCAGGTCTCGGCCACCTTTCACAGCCAGGGCCTTTTTGCCTTTGTCATTCTTTTCGGGTCATGCCGTCTATCCTATTTAAAATGGCTCTTTTAGCAATAGCACTTAGACTTGTATACCATTCCATGGTGCTTTAAAGCACTCTCTGAGCGGTTTGCAAATGTCAGCCTCTTGCCCCCGACAATCTGGGTCCTGGTTTACTGACCTTGGAAGGATGGAAGGCTGAGTCAACCTTGAGCCAATCAGGATCGAACTCCTGACTGTAGGCAGAGTTTGCCTGCAATGCTGCATTCTATCCACTGCGCCACCATGGCTCATACTTTTATTCCTCTTTTATTCTTTTTACAACTAAGTTAGGGCAGTGAACATACCCAACACACATTCCTCCTCCTATTTCCCCCACAACAACAATCCTGTGAGGTAGGTTGGGCTGAGAGAGAAGGACTGGCCCAAAGGCATCCAGCAGGCTTTCGTGGCTAAGATGGAACTTAAACTCAGGTCTCCCGTCTTTGAGCCTGGTGCCTTAACCGCTAGACCAAACTGGCTCCCATTTTTCCTCCTTCAGTTGCCTGCTTCTCAGAAGCCAAGTTTTCCTTCCTCCGTAGCTGGGTAAATTCCGTCCTGTAAAATCCACCCCTTTCCATCTTCCTTCT